ACACACACACACACACACACACACACACACACACACACACACACACAATGGAGTATTACTTGGAAATCAAAAAGAATAAAATCTTGCCATTTGCAACCACGTGGATGGAACTAGAGGGTATTATGCTAAGTGAAATTAGTCAGAGAAAGACAAAAATCATATGACTTCACTCACATGAGGACTTTAAGAGACAAAACAGATGAACATAAGGGAAGGGAAGCAAAAATAATATAAAAACAGGGAAGGGGACAACACATAAGAGACTCTTAAATATGGAGAACAGAGGGTTGCTAGAGGGATTTTGGGAGGGGGGATGGGCTACATAGGTAAGGGGCATTAAGGAATCTACTCCTGAAACCACTATTGCCCTATATGCTAACTAACTTGGATGTAAATTAAAAAAAAAAAAAAAAAAAAAAGCCACATCCTTAGTAAACTTCACTTTGAGAGAATTGTACACTCACATACAGTTGTAAGAAATAGAGATCTAAGACCCCCAGGGTGGCTCAGTCAGTTACGCATCTGGCTCTTGGTGACAGCTCAGGTCATGATCTCACAGTTCATCAGTTCGAACCCTGCATTGGGGTCTATGCTGGCAGTGTATGTGGAGCCTGCTTGGGATTCTCTTTCTCCCTCTCTCTGCCCCTTCCCTGCTCGCTCTTTCCCTCAAAAAACAAACATTAAAAAAAAAAGAAAAAGAAACAGAAATCTTATGTATTTTTTACCCAGGTTCCTCCAATATTAACATCTTGCAAAACTATAGAATATCACATATAAGACATTGAAATAACCCATTAATCTTACTCAGATTTCCCTAGTTTTATTTGTACTCATTTTGTTTATGGATTAGATCAGAGCAATTTTTATCACATTTCAAATTTTGTATCTAACCATGAGTCAAAAATATGGCAGTTCTACCATCAAGGATTTCTCCTCCTGTTTCATAACCACACATCTCAGTCCCTCACATGCCTCCAAGACATCAATTCTCTTTTCCTTACTTACAGTACACAGAATTACCAAAACACGTATGTACAGAATCCGTACTCTTTATAATTAACAAAGTTAAAAATAATATAATGAGATTAAAATACAAAATCACAATTTAAGAAAATTTTGTCAGGTTTAAAAAAACTGAGTGAGTTATTCAAATTTAAATTAGTCACAAGTAAAAAGGCCAAAGTATCTTAAATCATATTCAGAAGTAAAAGGTAAATTTTTAAAATTGACACAATAGAACTTATTTTTAACTACTGAGTAGTTTTTATTTCTGGCCAATGGTTCCAATTTTTACAATTTTTTAAACTTTTCCAATTTTATATATTTACTTGACAAACAAACTACAGTAGTCTTATACTCAATCCAAAATGTATTCCACTTCACTTGGCTTATAACAATTTACCTTCAATTTCATTGGAGATGGACGAGGTCTCTTTTTTACTTCTATCCAAGGTTGTGAGTCCAAGTCGGGCAAACTGGTAGACAGACCTCTAGATATTGCTTGGAGATTACTCGTTTCAGTATTTTTCTTTGGGTTCAGTGGACTTCCAAATCTTGGAGAATTTGGGGCAGACTCTAAAATTTTAAGTTGGTACTTAGTTAAAATAATGGCTTTCTTACTTATAAAACACCTTATTTTTCTTCACTTGGGTTTGATTTTTTTTTTCACAAAAACATGATAAATCAAATCTCAATTATAATCTTCCCAAGGACTTTCAAACCTGAAAAGCTTGTATGATGTATTCAAGTAAAGCTAATGAATAACAGATAAAAGGAATGTCACCAACTCTTACACAGATCACATTCATTCAAACTTCCGAATATCAATTGAGTCACTAATTGTGACAATACATCTATTTAGGGGTCAATTCCGTGTGCAATCTTAAAATCTATTAATTATATATAATGAAATTATGGAACCTTGAATGCTACTAAGCCACAGACTAAATGTGTCTTTTATTGAAGGCAAAATCAGTCCTTCAGTGTTCTGCTATGATCTATAGTAAGCCATTATTCCTACTTTTCACATTTCCTTTGCTTAATGAGGTTTAACCGAATGCAGTGTGCCCACTTAGCTCATACTGAATACTGTTTATAAAGAGTAGCATGTCACATCATTAAAGTGCACTGCTCTGGCAATAAAATGTAAAACATTTTATTTTTTAATTTTTATTTATTTTGAGAGAGAGAGTGTACACAAATGGGGGAAAAGGGGGTGGGGGCGGGGGGGTAAGAATGCCAAGCAGGCTTCACACTGTCAGTGCAGAGCCAGATGCAGGGTTTGATCCCACAAACTGTGAGATCATCACTTGAGCCGAAATCACGAGTTGGATGCTAAACTGACTGATCACCCAGGTGCCCCTAAAACATTTAAAAACTCTGTTGGAATTAAAAATGCCTTTCTCCACACAATCTTTTAATCAGAATAATTACATGCTCTATAAATAAATTCCTAATTGATTCCTTTACAAATCTTTTTTTAAAGTCAAAGAATACTTGTTTAAAGTTATAATGCAATATGTACTTGAGTCATACAAAAATTTTAAATACTAATTTAAACTCTAAAATTCTAAACATCGTTTTAGTCCTGAAAGCCAATTACTTGAAAATACTGCAAAGTTGAATATTACATGGAGAAAGCTGAAAGAAATGAACACCAGCCATCTTTTTTTTTTTTTTTTTTTTTTTTTTTTTTTTTTTTTTTTTTACTAAATGAAAATGCAAAGGCACATTCCAGGATTTTGGATTTGAGAAGAATATTCCAAGATTTTATTTCATCTACTACATGTTAGAGTTATTATCCTCTCCAAGAATGCATAGTTAGATCCAGGATTCAAATGCCAGATTACTATATTACTTTTTTTAAATGTATATTCCTTCATAATGGAAAAGGCTCTAAAACTGCAATTTTCTAAAATAATGGTATATGTATCATTAATTGATCCACAAAGGTAGTACAAGTGAAATGCTAGATTTGGGCTGCAAGTAAAAAGTTATAGGAATGGGAAAATATTTAACAGCAGAGAACCCTATTCCTAACACTATAAATCATCTATGTTCAATGCAGTGACTAAATCTTTAAAAATAGACTAAGAACCACCACCCTAGCAACTGAGAATTAACTAAATTACTATGTACAGTTCATGTATAAATGATTAGAACAGCACCTGGCACATGGTAGGGAAATCAGTAACTACTATTTTTAACATAGAAATTTAATCTTAAACACCTACTTAAGTTTATTATATAATAATTTCTAAATGCTCTCTAAACTTGAATGTTTCTACCACGAGTCAAGTTTTTCACTATATCCATAACACATGTGCTTATAAATTAAATGACATTAAAATAAAGAATTTGGGTAAGACAAGAAAAATCTAGATTTTTTAAAGGAAGTGTTTATCTTATAATTACCTACACATATGCTCTATGTGACGTTCTCTTTTATAAAGATTTCAAACCTTATATGTATAAATTTTAAGGGTTAATGGTAAAGCACTCATCTTCCAAAAACAAATGAGTGAATATTACTTGGATGACTTGACATTAAACTTGCTTACAGATAAAAAAAAGAAATTAGACACATACTTGGACACCTATAGGTTCTAACTTGTGAGAACGTAGAAAAAAATTGATCTTTGCTGCCTTCATTAATTGAAAATTGTCAACCTGACTCTCCAGAGATAAATCACCATACGTATCCCATGATATCTATCTAGTTTGACTTCTTTATGCACCCTGAATCTGGGTCATTATATAGATTGCTCTAAAAGGATTATATACTTTGTATGTGGCACATTCAGGAATACTTATGCAATTTTTCAAAGGAAATCTCACAGCTCATTAAAAAATCATTAGGGATTTTCCTACACATTTTTCAAAAAACCAAAAACAACATCAAAAAACCCCAAGAAGGTCAGGTACCTGATACTCTCAATTTTGATGAATGAAATCCTTTTACTTAAGAGCTGATAGTGTAATACTATATCCAAAGAACTGCAAAACCTAAATTTTTAAATTAACATCTTACCATTCCCATAATCAACTTTTTCTGGTGCATTGAGGTCCTCTGTTCAGTGCAAAGGTGAACTCATGTTACACAATTCAACCTCCATAGAGGGAAAAATAGAAATTTTAATTTCTTTGATGAAAAAAAACCAAAAATGTTTAAATATTTTACCATATAAATCCCTCTGAAAGTATACATCAACAGTTACGTTTTTGAAACTTAAGATCGTCTCATTAGACATAAAAAGGATATGGATAAAAGTTTCTTTACTTATAGGCACAGATAAATACAATCTATATTTCCTATCCTATATCCATTTCAAATTTTTGGTGACATACTACTTTGTATTGAAACTAAGGCTTTCTCATCAGAAGGTGATTATTAAGGTCAGAAATCTGAGGATTCATGGGAAAAGGTTGAATTTACATATTTATTCCTATGATGTCATGTGAATCAGCATAACTCTAAGAACATTCTGTCTTCCTATATGCCTTCATTATCCATCAGTTAATGATGTATAATTTAAAGAACCTAAAAATTTTGACATACAAATAGAGTGATTTTAGGGAAGATGTATGTGAGATATAAATGAGTGTATATTTAAAAAACACAAAAATGTACAAGACGTTGTAATTTTATTCTTGTCATTTTATTAATAATGCATAAATGGTTAAATGAACAGGCATCACCAACTTGACTGACCTATCTTAGCTACCTGTGGAAAAAGTATATTCTATTTCTATCTAACTCACCTAATGCCTGTTCATAAGCAGATTAAAAATGTCATCTTGGACCCCAGATTTACACAATAAATTAATCTAACTTACACAATCAGACATTATGTCTTTTTTAAGAAAACCTAAAAATTGTCACTTTTCTTCAACTTTTAAAACATCTGCCCAAGTTTCTTGCTTGGCAAGGTTTAGAGGCATAGAGGGCTAACAACCAAAGAAACACTAAATAAAAATATCTGTGAGACTGTCCATCAGTACTTTACTGATGGCAGGTCTCATATACTCGTGTATAAAAAATACATTTTGAAGAGTTTAGAAAAAAATATTCTTGTTAATTTCTCAAATTTTTTATCCCTCAGTGTCCACATTAATACATCTTACAGTCCATGTGAAATATTATGACAGCATGTGAGTTGTAGACTGCACTGTAGACTGCACTAAAGGGCAGATCAAATAGCAAAGGACCTAACAATCTAGGAAATGCCACTCAAGCCTATTTCTGCTTTATTGATCTGGACACAGGTACAAAAGTCTGGGAGGAAAAGACAGAATCTTGCAATAATTCCAGAATGATAATTAACTTTCCCACCGTAAATAAAAGTAGCACATGCAGCCCAGGCTAATTACACACATATGGTGGCTCCTATAAAAACAACAGCAGTCCTCTGGTCTGTCTCTCATCATCATCACAAAGGTGTTTATCTCCATTGTAGTGGTGGCCCAACCTCCTCCACAAGGAGTTGGGAGTAGACATTCTTGCACAGAAGTAAGTCTGGTCGCTTTCATTTCTGCAGCACGATTTGCTCCAATGTTTATAATATTTCAGTGAGTCACCTATTCCTCTGCATATTCCGATCAAATGACATCCAAGAGCATCAGTAGATCATCACCCTGACTGAAAAAAGTTTAAGCACACATTTTTTCCCAAGAGGGAATGTCTTAAAAATGATCCAGGAAAAAATTCTTATTATTAAAGCAGTTTTTGGAAATTCTAATTACCATCAATTCCTTAATCAATAACCTTAATAATTCCATAACAGTACCCCAATTCTGCTTTCGAATATAGATCATCCTGTCTTTACAAGACGGGACTGAAGCACACAGGTAACAACATTAAAGTCAAGCCCACTCTTGAGTATAAGACTTTTAAACTATTTCAATCCTATTAGACTACTCCAATCTTAGAAGAGGAAAACTGGCACAATATATCTATAATCATTTAGTAAAACTAAGAAGATGGACAGAAATTCCACACAGGACAAAGTACACAAGAATAGAGCAGAAATTTACCCATAATTCTTAAATCTCTACTTAATTTATGGTTCTGTGAGAGGATAATATGAATAGAATTGAGAGCATCAAAAGTCATTCAGTTATCTTTAATTTTCCTATTGAATCTAAATAAACCTTTTGAAAGGATAGGTATATTGAACCAAATAGCCCACCATTACACTGCTTGCTCTAGAAGAAAAGCTGTTACCTGTATGTGAACAAAAAGCTTGGCCTGGTACAAACTCTGGGCAATCAATCAGTTGAGAGAAGTCTGTCTGTGGCACAGTACGTGGAGGAGGGCCTGGAATTGGCCATTTTTCCGGCTCTATCTTTTTTCTCATTTTCTCATCCACAATTTCCACTTCTGTGCTATCTTTCAATGCCTATAAATAGGTATTTTCAGATACTAGAGAACTTTCATTCAAAACATTTAAATTGCATATCCTATAGTTCTAATCACCTAAAAAAATTTTAAATCTGAAATTAGCAGATATTATACAGAGTAAATGTTTTTAAAAGCATCCACAAATTAACTACTTAGAACAAATTTCTAAATCATTTGCCCCTGTGATAGGTAACAGATATCCTGATACAATATGCAGCAGATAATTTGGTTTTCACAACAGAGTAGGCATTTAAGGATTATTATGTCAACTAGAGGCAAACTACTTCTACGGCAATTAAGCTTTATTGTCAATTTTTTTCTCTCATATTTCTTTTTATCCTACCTTAATATCACCAAATAAAATTTAGGCATTATTTTAATGACTACCACCATTAATTAAATGATAAAAAAACACACATATACATTCCTCACAATACCCCATAAGGTACATAGATGAGGAAACTGAGGCTCAAAGAAATAAAGTAACTTCATAAAGATTATACACTAAGTATGAGGCAATACAAGGACTCACATAATTTATTAGCTACCCACCACCAAAAGTCTTAGCCACTAGGCCAAAGTGCTTTGCAAAAATACACATGCTGTAATTTAACAGTAAAATAAAACTAGAACAAAATTTCCTCAAAATAAAAGACTTACTGATCTGAATTTTATCTGAAATTCAAAGGTACTCACCTTTTAAAAATTAAATGAGAAAAAATACAAATATATAAAAACTGAATATACATACTTGTTATTTTATAAAAGTTATAACTTGCTATATTTTAGTTGGAGAACATATGTGTACAACTTTTTATACCTGTATGCCTTTAGTATACTACTTACTTTTCAAGTTACATTTTCCATAACTGGACAGTACTTTAAAATTAGTATTACAAATTATTTAAAAACAAACTCTTTTGATAGGAACCAGGATACTCTCTGAAAAAAATAGAGAGTCTGAAACACAGAATAAAGGAAATAAGGGAGAAGCCTAAAATAAAAAGTTTGAATTGGTGATATCTATATTTTTTTCCTAACATATTTTCCCAGTTTTGTCTACTGAACATTCTAGAAGCAATGACACCCTGGTAGTAAACTGTAGTACAGTATACTCAGCATCCAGATCTTGCAACAACATGGATGAATTTCAAAAACTATAAATGAAAGAGTCAGGAGACAGAAGAATTCCATTTACACAAATGTGTACAAATAAAGACTAATCTATACTGATACAATAAGAAAAGTAGTTTGGGATGGAGCAGAGGGTTGGTAGGAGAGGACTGACTGTGACTGGAATGACCATTAAGTAAGTTTTTAGAGTAATGGGCTATATCCTTTTGGGGGCAGGCTTACACAATTTCAAAACTCAAAATAAATACCTAAGACCTCTGCATTTTACAGCATGCTATTTATACCTGAATTAAAAAACAAAAACATGGGGCGCCTGGGTGGCGCAGTCGGTTAAGCGTCCGACTTCAGCCAGGTCATGATCTCACGGTCCGTGAGTTCGAGCCCCGCATCAGGCTCTGGGCTGATGGCTCAGAGCCTGGAGCCTGTTTCCGATTCTGTGTCTCCCTCTCTCTCTGCCCCTCCCCCGTTCATGCTCTGTCTCTCTCTGTCCCCAAAAAATAAATAAACATTGAAAAGTGACTTTCTTTAAAAAAATAAAAAATAAAAAACAAA